TGCACCGTGATACCTCGCCCAGTGTTGACTGTGTAATCAAAATTACGTGGACCCTTCCTCAGACAGACCCCGCCCCCCTACAGCAGCTTGGGAGGAAGAAGCTTGAACGATGCCGAAGTCAAGCTGCCGTCGCTTCAGTCTGAGTTTAAGCTTCAACGCAGCTGCACGCTCGAGGGCTCTCCATCCCGGGACGCGAGTGAGAAAGGGAATGGCATGTTTGCTCGGTGGGGCCCTGTGTGTGGAGGAAGGGGATGGGATGGGGTATAGACGTATCTGTGTGTGTGTGTGTGTGTGTGTGTGTGTGTGTGTGTGTGTGTGTGTGTGTGTGTGTGGTGTGTGTGTGTGTGTGTGTGTGTGTGTGTGTGTGTGTGTGTGTGTGTGTGTGTGTGTGTGTTTTACGAGCACATTTTTTTGCGATGGAGTCCATACCTTGTATTCATATGTTCGATCAAGGGCTGAAGAAACTACCTTTGTGCACACGATTACTCAGCTATCATAGGACTTGCCATAAAAGTCGCAGCAAAACCGAAGAAAATCATTTCCGTCAAGATTGTTCACATGACAGAGAGAGAGAGAGAGAGAGAGAGAGAGAGAGAGGAGAGAGAGAGAGAGAGAGAGAGAGAGAGAGAGAGAGAGAGAGAGAGAGAGAGAGAGAGAGAGTATTCAAATTTATAAACCCTTTTACCAGAGAACATTCAGAAAATAGTTTTATCTTAAGATATGCAGAAACGACTAGCATAAACAAAGGGATTTCGTCAAGGACCCTCACTTACTTGTTTAATAGAAACATAAAAAACTGAATCACTACCAATACGAGCGATATTCTGCTGTAACATTGTTTTCTTATTCTTACCATTGATTTCCATTCCAAGTATCTGTTCTTTAGAACCTAAAGGGAGCAGTAATGACAGACCAACAAATACGCCCCTAAAAGTATATTGGAACCAATGAATCCAGTCGAAAAAAGCATGAAAAAATCTGCAGTCTAGAGCAGCAACAACGAAACGAAAGCGTGCACATGCGGCTGACCCACCCTGGAGATGAAAGCCTCCGCCTGCGTCACTATGGGGGCGACGCCTCCGAAGAGGATTTCGTGCTCGTCCTCCGTCACCGAGGACAGGCGTCGTAGGTGCTGGCCGTACACCGCTTCCACGCACCGAAGACGCCGGACCAGCGTCTTCTCCGTGGCTGCAATTACGATGGCCATCCGCAGCCGGGGCTCCAACTCTGCAATACAGAAGGGTTTGTTATTTAAGGCTGGGGAACTTACAGCGACGTCTTAGATGCCTTACATTGCTATGGAGAATGCGAGGTTAACGATTTAATTCTGGTAAAGCAGACATATATCTTACTACTTTTCAGCATGCAGATGTTTTTATTTTGAAGGTATGTTATTGAAAACCTTGAATTTGTACTATCTGTTCCTTGTGCCCATCCATGTAAAAATAAAACAGTATGAGGAATATAAAGAAAATCACACATATTCTAAAAGTATACAAGTAACTCTTCGACAAAAACCGGACCTAAGATATAACACTGAACATTTTTTTCCTTTTTCTCTTGCTTTAGCCTCTCGTCGGCACATTCAAAAGTGGTCTACTGTCTTCACCTTATAATATCCGCAGCCTTTGCATGGTCATCTGATCTCGACCCCCGGCCTGACCACTTCTGAATGATTGCTTATTGCAGCTCTCGTAAGCATCTCGAGGTGCCAGATTCCCTCGTGTATCAAATTCACGGATGCTGTTACCACCGGTTTTCCCCGAATTACTTACACTTATTCCACCTAAAGCAACAAAGGCATCAACACCAACCTTCACTAATATGCTAACAACACACTATTACCATTTCTTTTATGATTATCATTGCGATTTTACTCGCCGAGACCGATTTACACACAACTTTCACATACACCTTGCTGCTTCTGATAGCTGGACCACTTGTACAATCTATAACCGGATCGAGCGTTTGAAATATTATTCGATTTAGATCAATTTTGCGGTGACCGACTGACCTTAATAAGTAGTGACCATAATACCAAATTGATTCAATTGTTTTGTTATAGCATCACGTCACGCAATCACGTTTTTTACACAGCCATCAAGTGATCAAGTGGGTACTGTTTTCCACGGTTTGTACGTGACGACCGACGGACTTATGACCAGTACGTGAGGAAAGAATTCGTGGAGTGAGCTCGCCATGCAACTGGCCCTTCCGTTGTCCCCTGAACGTTGCGACTGTGAAACCTCAAGACTCAGCAAGACATATCAAGTTCCAAGATTCTCAGACATATGAGATTTGTATGCCGTTGAAATATAATACCAACTCTATAAAACAGAGACATTAATACGAAAGATTTCCAAACTGTCAGTGAGATGCAAGACAACACCCTGCACCCCTAATACAATATCAGACGCCATCATTCTAATAAACGAACACCAAACGATAATCCCCCTCAAATCTTTTTGACGCCGCCTCTCAAGAAAAAAGAGAAAATCCT